TTGAGCTCATTCCAGATAATTTGGAAAGAACAAAAGAGGGGAAAAGAGATAGAAGAAAAAATCACCATTAGCTCCCCTATCCCAGAAGAAATCTCTGCCAACATTCTGCTACATATCTTTCTGGACTTCTTTCCTCCCCTTATTGTTTTCTGAAGTTATTATATCAAAAAGATAAGAGATAACAAGTGTTGGCGAGGACGTGGGGAAAAAGGAAACCCTTGCACACTGTGGTGGAAATACAAATTGGTGTAGCCATTATGGAAAAACACTATGGAGATTCTACAAAAAACTAAAAATAGAAATATATGATCCAGTAATTCCACTTCTGGGTCTATATCCAAGGGAAATGAAATCCCTACCTCCAAGAAATATTTGTACCCCTGTAACACTTTATCAAGGGCAAATTTAAAAAGTTATAGAAGGAGAACAAGTTAGAGGGGAGTTGCGGTTGGTAAAATGTAGGCGGTTAGGTTATATTTATAGTTCAGCTTCCATAATGTTGGAACTGATTCAGTAATTAAAACATGACTTTATCTCATCTAGTGTTCAATGATGCTTTAACGCTTTATACGGTCAAATATTTCATAATGAACAATGCTTATCCATGAAAAAACAAGTATTTCCTCTTGCTAAAAACAACCAGATTTGCATTCATGTTTCCATATTCCTTTCTCTAACCAGGTATCCGATGTCTGCAAACTGACCTGCTCAACACTGCGGACATATAATCAAAAGCAAACATACCAGTAGAGTTTGGAGAGGTAGGATTTGTGGACTAAACTCAACCAGGGTGGTAATGGGCTGGGCCCTCCCACAGAGTGGCTTCTGGCAACGGAAGTGTAACTTTAGGCCTTTTAGGTTTCTTGCCTTTGTACATCCTGAAAGCAGACACGGGGGAAGTAAATCTATAATTAGGGGGTTATTTAGAATAGAGATTTGTGACCTGACAGACTGCAACCTGTCTGTATCCACAAACACAGTGAAACCCCTCACCAGCCCTTTGTCTCTGGGTGTGCATGGTCTATTGAAGGTCTCTCATTTACTGAGCCACCTGGGTTCACGTTACATTTCCTGAGAGAAGGAAGGGTGTATGGGACGGAAAACAAGTACATCTAGGCATCTAAAAATGATCTTATTAATTCTTGCATTCTTTGTCTTAAAAATCAATTATCTTGAGTTCAAGTTTGACTTCACCTTACCTCATTATTTAAGTGCTGAGTTGTCAAGTTTCAAACCCAATAATAGGAAATGGAATTCTTTGTGCAAGGTGAATATAAGCTACAGGACAACACATACCTTAAAGCTCTTCAATAGGAGACAGTATTTTAGAAAGTTTTAGGTTTAAAATTCCATCTACAATCATTTTCGTTGGTAATAAGTATTTTCTGAGTACTTGTATTTACAGCTCTCATACCAGATACTGTCTGTAGATAGCAGGTATGTGCCTATGAAATGTCATTCCCTGTTACCTGTTGCTGAGCACACTGAATTTCCATTCTTATGCATTTTGTGTCTTTCATTTAAAATGAACGTATTTACCAGTATACAATTAACATAGTGACTTAAGACCTTTATAAGGCACCTAAAATTGCAAGATGAACTTATATTCCCATTTACAGGACCCTGTAAAGGGACTGCATAGTTAACACTACAAACCTAGATCTTGATCGACAGATAGGTCAAGTGTTTCAGACTTAAAAATTTTATTATAAAATGTTTCGGATCCAAAAGAAAAAAGAAAACCCCATGGAAAGTAAAAATATAAAAGACATTCGTGTGCCCACCACTCACATTATTTTTTTTAAAGATTTTATTTATTTGACAGAGAGAGCACAAGCAGAGGGAGAAGCAGGCTCCCTGCTGAGCCAGGAGCCCGATGTGGGACTCGATCCCAGGACCCTGGGATCATGACCCGGGCCGCAGGCAGCCGCTTAACCGACTGAGCCACCCAGGCGTCCCCCACCACTCACATTTAACACTTTGCCATATTTGCTTCACACTATTTTTAAAGAAAGTAACAACAACAACAAAGCATTAATGATAGAGGGGAAGGCCTCACCTCTCTTTCCTTTCCATCTTTCCCTCCTCAGAGTTTACTGTATCCTGTTTTGTTCGTGTAGGTTTTTTTATACTTTCACAACTTAAGTAGGTTTTAGGTTTGTTTGGTTTTATGTTTCTAAAATTTGCCTAAGGGGTACAGTTTGCAGAAATGTTTGCAGTTTGCTTTTTCGTTCAATATTAAGATTTATCTACATTGGTGCAAGTAAGCCATACCATTCATTTGAACTACTGTTCAAATTCCATTCTATGAATATACCACCGTCTGTGCATCCATTTCCCTTCTGAGGGGCACTTAATTTGCCATATTTTACTATGATACACAATGCTAATATGAATGAACCATCCATCCCTCCAGTCCCATTAGCTCGATCTTCAAAATAATATATCTGAGCAGTTCTCCCCACCCTAAAACTACCCTAGTCCAAGCCATCATTTTCTCCTCCAGGGGCTCCTAAGTGCCTTGAGCTTTCAATCCTGCTCCCCTTCAACCTACAGTTCATACAGTCCATGGGGTCAGATTGGGTCTCTCCATCAAAATCCTTCCCATCATACCTAGGATAAAATCCAAAGCTCTTCCCATGATCAGGAAGACCCCACATGATCTGGCCCCTCTCCCTTTCTTACCCTAGCTCTACAGTCACAGCATACTCGGCTTCTTCTGTTAGCTGCCTTATAGAGCCTTTGAACCAGCTGTTCATTCTGCTTAAAACCAGCACTTCCCTTATCTCATATGACTTCTTCCCTTGCTTTACTCAGGCTCCTGATCAGATAACACCTCAGAGAAGCCTTTCCTGTTTTTCTTATTTGAATTAATACCTCTTTCATTTCCTATCTTATTTTTTTTTCTTCTCAGAAGTTATCACACCTGAAATTATCTTGTTTACTTCTACTCCTCTGCTAGGATGTACACTCCCTGGTCTTTGTGTCTCCAGTTCTCAGAATAGTGCCTGCTGTAATAGGCATTGTCTATACTTAACCTGAATGAATGAGAGAACATCAGTACAAGATTCATCATGCACATTCTCCAGGATGCTATTTTGAAAATTCTGTCCATGGTGAAGCGCAATATGAAATACGCATTTATACAAAACACACACACAAAAGTGACACAGTTCGAGAAAACAATACTCACACTTACTACTCATATTTTTTACCCAATTTCAAAAAGAAAGAAGAAAGCGTGCTAGTTGTAACCCACTAAGTTGATTTCACAATTCACCAATGGGTTCTAACCAGCAGTGTGAAAAACTTTTTTGGGGGGTATATACCTGGAAATGGTTTCGCTGGGTTTTACTAAATATCCCTGAACTGCCCTGTGAAGTAAAAAAAAACTACACTCCTAACATTGCAGGAATTTCCTCATGTCCTTACCAGCACCTGGTCTTATCAGGTTTTTGTAAATTTTTGCCTCTGAGTGAAACTATCTGTTTTAATTTGCATCTTTCGGTTTACTAAAAAGACTGATAGACCAGACATCTTAATATGTAAACGATTTTCTAGTGCCCCAAGAGAATTAAGAATTTTCCTATCAGAACTTCTCAGAGTCAAAGGACTTAATCTTCCCTTACTTTATGCATTTCACAATTCCAAATTCTCACACATTTCAGTGGCAAAAAACTGTATTCCCAAGGACACAGCACCAACGACAATTTTAGTTCTTTCACCATTTATATAGTTCTTTATTTACTCAATACTTATTGAGTCACTCACCCGCCCCCCACCCCATCACCACCACTGCCAAGAATTTCGCCAAACCAACCGCCTTTCTTGGCGCCTACCTTCGAGACCGTGAGTTCTTTGTCCCTCACACTGTGACAGAGTGACCATGGGCAGGCGTGTTTTAGAAAGGCTCGAAGACTCTGACCAAGACCCTCCCAATTCTTCCAATCCATTGTTCTCTGGTATTACTTGCTCACAAGTTTTTGTATTCAATACATCCAGAGAGGAACGCGGTGTGTTCACGCATGCTCTCTTACTGCAAAAGAATTATTCCCGAGAGAAAAGTTTTTAAGGAGAAAATTCGAATGGTTTCATTTCAAGCACTTGTCTTAAATGTAAGATTACAATTAGTGTCTTTTAAAGCAACCCAAATCATCTTACTTTTTCTTCTAAAAGCTTTTTTCCTGCTCTCTACAAAAAAATTTTAAAACCTCACACTTTATTGCGTCGGAATGTCAGATTTGATTAAAAGGGCAATTGAAAAGTACCTCACGGTCATTCCAATTTCGGTAATTATAAATTCTGAAGAAAGAAAAGACAGTTAAACCACATTAATAGTCTTCAACTTCTATCCTCAACAGATAAATTTTAAAGCCTGTATGATCCCGCAGATAAGTGTTAACTAATGGCAGCGCCTTTTTGTCCATTAAAAAACCACAAGTCTTATGTAAAACAACGGCTTCCCGTGCTTTCTGGAAAAAAACATCAAGACTTAACTCCTTTTATTGCTGCAGATAATGATGTGGTTCCCAGATAAGAGGTGCCACACTCAGAGACAGCGACTAGACTAATAAAGGGGGAATTCATGCTTAATTCTTTGATTTTTACGCTTAATAACGTAAACCGCACGCCGCAATGCAAGTGGTAAGAGCCAAAACCCGCAAGACTCTCGCTCCGCTCTCCATTACCCCGCACCTCGACTTTTCCTCTCCCAGCCCGGGAATTCATGCAAATCAGCCTGCTAACCCCGGGGCAATACGAACCTCTTTCGCGCCATTCGCTCAGGACCGTGCAGCAACCTAAAGAGAGTTGTCTAGAGCCCTAAAAGCGCCGCTTTTCCACGGCGGACTTTAGGGCATTCCAAGGCTGTGCCTTGGGGTCATAATATTTTGGGGGGCGCTTTTTTCCCCAGTGCCGAGAAGGTCTCGCGCCTGGGTAGGCGGTTACCATAGCTTGCAGGACCTGCGCCCCAACGCGGGAAAGCCGGCCGGAGCCCCGCCCCTCGAGGCCCAGGTCTGAGCGCCCCGCCCGCCGCAGCTCCAGCTCCTTCAGCGCTGTGGGACCGCGGCGCGCGGTGCTTCGCTCTCCAGGCTCAGAGCGCCGGCCTGGGCGCCCGCCGCCAGCATGGACGCTCGCCGCGTGCCGGTGAGCGCTAGGCTGATGAACCCGAGGGGCGGGTGCGGTGGGTGCTGGGCGCGGACCGACTCCCTCTACCTCCGCGGTCCGAGTGCTGCTTATCAACTGGTGGCCGTCCTGGGCGGCGCCCATTTAGGCAAGCCCCAGATTTTATGCATTTCGCGTAATTCCGAGCCGGGGGCCGACGCCGCTGGGCGTGCGCACCCGGCGCGCTGGCGGTCGGAGATTTGAGCAGTTTTCAGGTTGGTTGGCAGCGCTGGGGAGCCCGAAGCCACGTGCGCCTGAAGTGCACGTGCGCTCGGGGCCGGACAGCGGCCCGAGCTAGCGGGTCCCCCATTGTGTTTGCCGGCCAGAGCCGGGGTGGAGGGGAGCGCCTCCCTCCCTGCACCCTGGGGGGTTTGCCCTGCAGCGGTGCAGGCCTTTCCAAGGTGCCGCTGCGGGCGGGTGGGTGGCTCACTGCGGCAAGACCTGCGCTCACTGGGGGGCCCTTTGGACCCGCTCCCCGCCGGATTTTGCGCTTGCCACACCAGCATCCGCTTTCTAACCGCTGAGTACCTGTGGGTTTGAAGTTTAAAGGTCTTGCAAAATGGTCTCTTTAGGACTTGGGTGCGCACATGGGGGGAGGCATCGGCGATTAAGAGCACCTGAAGGTGCTGTTAAACGACCATTTGCTCGTTTCCCACTCCTCCACCCACCAACCTTACTCGCAGCTGCAGGACGTTTCCCTGAATGGAACGTTACTTTTTGCTCTAACGGAAACCGGAACGTAGGGTCTGCCCCAGGAGATGTTAGAAGATGGGGGTTGGGTGGAAAGGAAGAGTGTGACATGCTTAAAATAAATAAAGAGTGACACACGTGGGGAAGCTGTGGTTCTAGTGGGGGTGGGGGGTGGGAGAGGGCGTGTTGGGGGCGTGGTTTCAGACACTACTCTTGGGTGTAACGCGGCATTAGCTTTTAGGTTGGAGAACGCCATGTGTAACAGGACTTGGAATCTGACGTGCCTGGGTTCAAATTTGGGCCATCCTGTGACGAATAATCCACTTAACCCTTCACGCCTCGGCTTCCCCATTTGTTAGGTGGGAATAATGATAGCACCTTTGTTGCAAGGAATTAAACGTAATGTGAAAACATGCTTAGGGCCTGGCACGAAAAAAACACCTACTAAGTGGTATTAGTTATTACCTGCCTGCCAGAAAAGTTCATCTCAACCATGACTATTTGCCTTTTTCTACGTCTTTTCCTCCAAACATGCGTTTGCCTGCTAACTAACTCTTGGCATGTGCTGACGTGTTAAAGCCCAGCGTATTGTCAGCTTCCAGTAGACTGCCTCCCTTGAGGCTGTCGTGGGCCTCTGACTGCTTGCAGGTAGATTGATGAGTAAACTGCTGCAGTAGTGCAGGGAGCACTGCTGTAGTAGGAGATTACAGAATTGGGTTCTCCTTCCAGCTGTGTCCTCTTGGGCACTCTATTTCACCTCCCTGGAGCCTTGAATTTCCTCACTTGGAAAATGGGGTGTTTGAGAGCCCTTCTAATAGGTAGTAGCACTACCTATTACCACATTTTGCCGCCTTTCTGAAAGGACAAAAGACATAATTTTATTTGCAAGAGATTGAAATGAAGTGCCTAATGTTAGATGTACAAGGAAGGTCAAGAATGTTCTTTCCACCTTGACACCTCACATCTTGGCTTTATTTTGTGGGACCCAGAGCAGAGCTTGCCTTTTAAAGTTTTCAGTGGGAGGAGTCATTTCTGTTGTGTGGCCATATTTAAGAAAATTAAAACGTAGGAACTAAAAACACTTAAATCTCATTAAATGTTAAGAAATGCCAGAAACTGCTGTCTCTATCTTTAGATAGATGAGATGCTAATTGCATTTTCTGATGAGCAAAGCCAGGCTGTTCGGTGTTTATGAACAAGTAACCTACAAGTAATTTGTGACTTACAGAAGGACTTCTAAAAACTTAAGAATTGTATAGGAAGGGGACTTCGGAAAAAGCTGAATGTCAGGCCGGGCTGATAGAATGCTGAGATGGAATCGTGCATTCTACCTGGGTTTGGAGTGCTGTTTGACCTTTAACTTGCCTCCTTGTGTGTTTGTTCACTCGGTTGATGTACTTGATTTGTAAGGGCTTGTGCTGAAATCACTATACCCCTCTTGGTTAGAGCAGGGCCAGCTTGAAAGCCTGCCATCTTGAAGTAGAGGTGCTGCCCAGTTCTTGTAGTTTGGGAAATTAGCATCACAGTACATAGGCCAAAGCTTATATAAAAAGACCTCATTAGCTTGATTTTGGCTGAGGGAGAGAAATCACTCAACCATTTTGTACTTTTGAAATTTCCTTTTGGAAGTGCAATCTAATGTTTTTAACAGGCAGGTTTTAGGAGATCAGCATTAAACCCCTTGGGAACTCCGTATCACACGCTCAGCTTGGGGGAAAGAGGTGTTCAGTGAGGTAGTTCTGTAGATGTTTGATTGAACCGATAAATGTCCTTAACAATATTTCCTTCAAAGGGATCCCCTTTTAAGATTTTACCAGGTTTTGAAAATATTGTTGTAGCATTCGCAAATTCTTTTACTGTGTAGGGTATAGGAAATGGATATATCTACTCTGTGCTGTTTGAACTACTAAACTCAAAATGATGTCTTCAGTTGGTGTAAGTGACCCACTTAATAGTATTGCCATTTTCATTTACAGCAAAAGGATCACGGAGTAAAGAAGAACGTAAAGAAATTTAGATATGTGAAGTTGATTTCCATGGAAACGTCGTCATCCTCTGATGACAGTTGTGACAGCTTTGCTTCTGATAATTTTGCAAACACGGTAAGTGCTGCCTGAGAATAAACAGAATTGAGTCTGCAGTGCCCACAGTGCCCCAAATGCTTTGTGCGTGATTAAAGCTGCTTGCTTTTTGCCTGCATTTCTATACAGCCGCTAGAAAATACAGTATGCATTGTAATTTCATTTCACTTTTTGCTGTGGTTCTAGGTAGTAATTGTTGGAGGTAGATTAGCTACTTATTCTGTCTTTTTGAAATGTCGCCTAACCTAACATGCCTGATGATTTGCCATAACAACTCAGAAATCATTTGTAAACCTCTGAACCATTTTTCTTTGTAACAAAAGCTGTTCTCTTGTAGTGCACTTGTAAATGTGATTTGCTCTCTGCACGTTTATGGAAAATTGGTTCTTGAAAAAGGAAAAAAAATGCACAACCACATTTATTTATTTATTTTACAGAAACCTAAATTCAGGTCAGATATCAGTGAAGAACTGGCAAATGTTTTTTATGAGGACTCTGATAATGAATCTTTCTGCGGCTTTTCAGAAAGTGAGGTGCAAGATGTGTTAGACCATTGTGGATTTTTACAGAAATCAAGGCCAGATGTCACTAAAGAACTGGCCAGTATTTTTCATGCCGACTCTGACGATGAATCATTTTGCGGTTTCTCAGAGAGTGAGATACAAGATGGAATGGTGAGTTTGAGAACCCATGTCAAGAAGTACCGTACATTTACAGGCATGACATACTTGTTTGAAGTTTTTTTTCTCGTAAAGTTTTTTTTCCTCGTAATTTTCATTTTGGTCATGCCAGAAGATTTTGTTGACCTTTTTAAAATTTTAAGAGTTATTTTCTTCTCCATGTCTTACAACAGTTTTTACTAATATAGTCCTACTTATAAAGCTTGAACATTTTGTAGGCTCTGAAAGTCTTGGAAACTGGTAAGATAAAATTGGTCAACCTCCAGATTTCTGTTGCCACAGAAATCTAGCCTGATGATCAGAGGCCCACATGTCCTCAAGATTAGCTATATTCGTATTTCAGTTCAAGTGCCCAGCCCAGTACTGGCCCCGGCCTGGAGCAGGCCTTTGGTAAATGTGGGTTCTGGTGGTGGATCTAGACCTCATTTGGAAAACCTGTGATAATTCATGTGCAGGAGTTTCAGTGCACATAGTGACAATTAGGGCCCTTCCTGCTTCCACCTGTGCTCCTTGGCTGGCTTTTCTTGTGCACGCTGCTTTACCCAAAACCTGTGATAATTCATGTGCAGGAGTTTCAGTGCACATAGTGACAATTAGGGCCCTTCCTGCTTCCACCTGTGCTCCTTGGCTGGCTTTTCTTGTGCACGCTGCTTTACCTTTAACCTCTGTCATTCTGCTCAGGCCACTGCTGCTGCTGCACCTCGGTCCCACTCTCCCTGAGCATATTGTTTAGTTCTGCAGACTCTGGTTAGCAGGACTGTCTCAGCAAAGGAAGCAGTGTGTTGATTTACAGTCAGGTGCATGCTCTTCAGCTCATTGGGGTCTGACGGTGACCACAATGATACTGACATAAGTGAGAACATCTGGCCAAGGAGTGTTTATCACGGGGTGACTTGGTGGTAATGTAACATTGCCTTTAAGAAGTGATGGTCCAAATCAATGCAGATTGGAGTTCTTGCGGGGGGCTAGTCTGTAAGTCTGCATGTGATCTAAACATTGTCTAGCCTGAGTCATTTCGGGGCAGTGTTTACACTCTTTGTAGATGCTGTTTGTTTCAATTAATAAGATGCCAGTCGATTAAAAGTCTTAAGAACGCGTAAAAGTTTGTCATTTTCTCGTATCGGGCACACTAAAAGTACACAAAGAATCCTAGAAACTGCAGATTTAAGAAGTGTTTGGATGTTAAAAAGTGGCTGTTCCATTTCTGGGACTTTATGGGTGATATATTTTCTTTTCTCAATCAATTTTTTTTTTTTCAGCCATCACTACAATCAATTTAGAATATTTTCATCAGCTCCCCAAAAAACCTTGTCCCCATTAGCAGTCACTTCTCATCCTTTCCTAGTACCCCCAATCGTCAATGGGCAACCACCAATTTGTCTGCTACCATTATAGATTTCCTACTCTGGACACTTCGTACGAATGAAACCGTACGCTATGAAGTCTTTCGTGAATGGCTTCTTTCACTTCATGGAAGGTTTTCATGCTTCTTCAATGTTGTGGCATGTGCTAGTACTTAATATCTTTTTATTGCCGAATAATATTGTATGAATGTACATTTTGTTTATCCTCTTCATCAGTTGATGGATTTGGGGGTTGTTTGCACCTTTTGACTATTGTGAATAGCACTACTGTGAACATTCACATACGAGTTTTTGTGTGGACATAATACTATCAGAGTATATATATGAACAAGTCCTATAGTAACTCTTGGCCTTTTGATGAACTGACAGGCTGTCTTCGGCTGCACTCTTGCATGTTCCTACCAAAAGTGTATGTGGTTCCAGGTTCTCTACATCCTTGCCATACTTGCTATTGATTCAGCTCCACTAGTGGGTAATGAAACAGTATCTTGTGATTCTGATTTGCTTTTCCCTGATGGCTAATTTTAATATATTTTTAATGATGGAACCCCACTTTAATTTTGGAATCTCAAAAATTTTTTTTAATTTTAAGTTTACAGTAAGTAGGTTAGAGAGGTACCTCAAAAGAGTCAAATTCATAGAAACAGAAAGTAGAATGGTGGTTTCCAGAGGCTAGGAGGTAGTGGGGAGTTAGTGTTGAATGGGTGCAGAGTTTCAGTTTGGGAAGATGAAAAAGTTCTGGAGACAGATGGTAGTGATGGCTGTACAACAGTGTGAATGTCCTTAATGCCACTGAACTGTACACTTAAAAAGGGTTAAAATGGTGAATTTCATGTTAGACCTGTTTGCTGCAAAATTTTTGAAAAAGTAGATTAGAGCACCCAGGCACCTGTAATAGAGTTTAATGCCAAACATTGAAACCATGTTTGTGGGAGAACACATATTTGTTTTTATAGGAATTCGTTTAAAAAACAAAAGATCTATTTTTGAATTAAAAAGGGAGCTGGGATTTTCACATTAAAAAAAAAGATTCAGAACCACTGGCCTAAGGGCTACGCAGATGGTTTATAAAAGACGTGTCTCAGGCTACAGGAGTTCAATTACCCTGATTATTGTATTTATTTGTAATTCCTGATTTTATTGCCCAGAGCTGTCAATTAAAATTGACAATTAAGGTGTTCAATTAAAATTTATTTGATGTCAGTGTCTTTTGTTCAGAAGGGATTTTGTAGTCACACTGGTGCAGCCTGTCGGACAATCAACAAGTCATTAACGACTCCATTGTTCCTGATTAACTAGAGACTGCAGTCAGACCACACTGGCTACAGGACCCGCAGCCAGTGCCGACGGTCCGGACCCCTCCGGGTGGCCATGAAGTTTCCAACCCAAAAGACCAGGGGAGCCGCCAACAAAAGAGCAGTGCCCCCCCAGCCCCCTGAGAATACTGTAACCGATTCCAGTTCTGATTCAGAAGATGAAAATGGAATGAATTTTTTGGAGAAAAGAGCTTTAAATATAAAGCAAAACAAAGCAATGGTAGGTATCTGACTTTGTGATAACACTAATAACCCTTCCCATCCTTTCTGTAAGCTGCTCATTGCTTATACCTGTGTCCTAAGAATTATTTTCAATGTAACTGTGAAGTATTCACAATGTGTGCTTTAAAATGTGCTGCTTTTCCTAAGTTAACTTCTCTTTTTTAATCTATTAAAGTCTTGGTAAATGTATAAGTGAAATCAAACTCGAGATGTGCTACTAATTTCCAGAAGTTGCTTTTTTTCAGCAGTTATTCTAAATAATTTCTGTTGAATATCCTCCCTTTTTAGCTTGCAAAACTAATGTCAGAACTAGAAAGCTTCCCTGGCTCATTCCCTGGAAGGCGTTCCCTACCAGGCCCCAGTACAGTAAGTGCAAATCCTTGTTTATATTGTAGTATTTTGGACAGGTCTAGGATAGATTTATTTTTAAGATTTTATTTATTAGAGAATGGGTGGGGGGGAGGGGCAGAGGGAGGGGGAGAAGCAGACTCACTGAGCAGGGAGCCCAATGCCGGGTTCTGTCCCAGGACCCCAGGTTCAGGACCAGAGCCGAAGGCAGACGCTTAACCGATTGAACCACCCAGGTGCCCCTAAATTTGTTATTTTAAAATCCAATTTCCTTATTTTGTGTAGTCCTACAGACAAGTAAACCTTCTAACAGATCTCTGGGACCTCTTCTGTGCATGCTAGGACAGATGTGGCCTCTCCAAACCATGCTTCTGCAGTGCTTAAACCCCTTTTGATTGGCTATTTCTCTCCTTCCCAACTAAATTAAGCCTCTCAAGGGTAGGGAGTAAAGATTGATTTTTTTTTTTTTTTTTCTGTATCCCCAGCATTAGGATATTCCTTCCTTCCTCTGCTGCATTTCCTAATAATAGAGGTTTTTAATAACTGAGAATGGGAGGAAAAAAAGGAAAAAACAATTTCATAACCAAGTCATGGCCTAATATATGTGATTATCTTCTGAGGAACTAAGCTGGTGCAACTAAGGGGAATTTGGTGTGTCTGCTCCCTGAGGAGAAAGGGAAGAGGCAAGCAAGAAACAGAAGAAGGAAAACCATACATATATTTCTCTCTTGTGCCATGTAGAAATAGTGAGTATGTTTCAGGGCTCAAGAGATACTGTAGAAAGGGGTTTTTGGAAAACAAGATCTGTTCTTAAGTGGAAGAATAAAAGGATCATCTCTCAGTCTGAGAGAAATGGCTTGGTGTTAGAAGAGCAGAATTACAACAGCTGTATCATTTTGGGGCTCACTTCCATGCATTATGGAAAGGACAAAGGATTAGGAAATGGAGCTCCCCTTTTACTTAAACAAAAACGTACTTAAGGGGAAGGTGCCACTTCTCTTCATTCTGGAATAAATGGGTTCCATCATGTGTGTTTTGTTTAGCAGTCAAAGACCCCCCGAAGGCGTACATTCCCAGGTGTAGCTTCCAGGAGAAACCCTGAACGAAGAGCTCGTCCTCTTACCAGGTCAAGGTCCCGGATCCTTGGGTCCCTTAGTGCTCTACCCACAGAGGAGGAGGAGGAAGAGATGGAGGATAAGTACATGCTGGTGAGAAAGAGGAAGACCATGGACAACTACATGAATGTGAGCTCTCCGCACTTGTGCTTGCTCTTCTGTTTGTCATCTTCTGTACGCCCAGTATCCAAAACACAGCACAGGGACCCACGTGGCCTCAACACCAGCTGACCCATAGTAAACCTTCTCAAATCATTCAGAATTGTCAGTGTCGCATAAACTTATTTGATGTGTTTTGTTAGCAGGTGAGAAGGTCAAAGCTTGCTTGCTTGCCTTTTTTTTTTTTTTAAGATTTTATTTTTAAGTAATCTCTACATCCAACATGGGGCTCAAACTTGTAACACCAACATCAAGAGTTGCATGCTCTACCGACTGAGCCAGCCAGAGTGCCGCCCCCACCTTTTATTTCAAGATTTTATTTTTAAGTGGCCAAAGCTTTCTTCAGCTTCTTAATGTAGGAATCATTTCCATGATGTTGTCCCATTATCTTTAGTAAACTTAACTTGCCCCCCCTTCTCCATAAGCTATAAGAAAGATTTCTAGGTTGAATTCTTCATGAAGCAATTACAAATCATGTATCTGGGATTCAGAGCTGGGGAGAGCCAGTAGGAACACCATTCCATGAATTTTGTCATGCAGGAAGATGACATGCCCAGAAGTCGTCGTGCCGGATCCATGACCCTTCCACATATAATTCGCCCTGTGGAAGAAATTACAGAGGAAGAGCTGGAGAACATCTGCAACAACTCTCGAGAGAAGATCTATAACCGCTCATTGGTACGACCCTCTCTAAGTCATATCTGTGAACATGAACATCTGTGAGAGAAAGGATAGCTTCTCTCCTTTCTCCTTAGAGTTTTGCTAATGTTAAAGGTCTTAGCATATTTGATATGTGCCTGTGTGTTTTTTTGATATAAGGAAAGTTTTTTAGCCTCCTTGGGATATACATCTCTTAGTGAGTCTGCAGTAATGGTATTGGCCTAGTAAGCCTTTGGTAGCATTTGATTTTTCTTTTAATTTAGAAATTGATTCAACATGTTTACTGTGTGTACGTCTACATACACAGGTGCTGGGGTATAGTGTGCTAAAAATAAAGATTGGGGTACTTTTTTTTGCATAAGATGTTTTCTTGCAGAAAACTAGTTTTGATAATATTAACTATTGCATCTGCCAATTGATGAAATCACCATGCCTGATTTATTTTTCATGCCCTTGGCATATACATGTGTATGTAGATTTAACATAGGATTGAAAGACAAATTGTCAGACACCATCTACAAAGAAGGACGTTCTTTATGCCATTTTTCTATACAAAAAGCGGTGTTTTGTTCTTTTTTTCCATCTTATTTGCCTCTTTGTAGGGATCTACTTGCCATCAATGCCGCCAGAAAACTATTGATACCAAAACAAACTGCAGAAACCCAGAGTGCTGGGGTGTTCGAGGCCAGTTCTGTGGTCCCTGCCTTCGAAACCGTTACGGTGAAGAGGTCAAGGATGCTCTGCTGGATCCAGTAGGTGCCTTGAAGGGTGGTCCTGTGGACTTAAATGTTAGCCATGAGTTGAAGGGGCCAGAAAGGGTAACAGTGAAAGGATCGAGCCTTAGAGTTGTGGGGTGCACGTTTCAGGGGAGGCTGATGACTTCATAGACAAGTCTGAGCGCCCCCTCCAGAGTGCTTGGTTGGGACCAGACCATACAGGGGAAGTTGACTCTACCCTTGCTAGTTGCTGTGTAACCTCTGCTGCATTTCCTAAGAAAACATCAGGAGGACTAATGGAAATTAATCATATCAAGCTTTTGCTGTTACTTAAAAAAAAAAAAATATGTAAATGCAATTGATGTACCTACCTTAGAGGTTAAATAAGAATAGGTAAGTAAGGGGAGGAAAGTTAAGATTTGATTTAACTGTGCCTTTTCACAATTCTCCTTCAGAATTGGCATTGCCCGCCTTGCCGCAGAATCTGCAACTGTAGTTTCTGCCGGCAGCGAGATGGGCGGTGTGCGACTGGGGTCCTTGTGTATTTAGCCAAATACCATGGCTTTGGGAATGTGCATGCTTACTTGAAAAGGTAAATGGCTGGTTTTTCTCTCTTCCACACCCAAATCTTACATTCATGTTTGTGTCTTAATGAAAAGATAATAGAAGTGAAAATAGCGTTTGTCTCCAGGGGGTGAGGACTGCAGGTTTTGACTGCAAAGGGGCACATTGGGAGTCTTTTCGAATGTTGGAAATGCGTTCTGTCTTCATCTGGGTGGTGGGGACGTGTGTGTGAGTGCATAAAAATTCCAGTTGTTATGTTTAGATGTATGCACTTAACTACATATACTATAACTCAATGAAAACATTTTGAAAACTGAATTAGGCTTTCCAAAGAACATTCTTAGGCTGAAAGCCATATCCTGACCTGTTCCCTTCTCTCTTTCAGTCTGAAACAGGAATTCGAAATGCAAGCATAGCATTTGGAAGATCCACTCTCCGTCTTCCACTGTGCAAAGCTTCCTAAAGTTTTCGGTTTTGTCACATGATTGAAACCCGAGTTAAGAATTTTGATGATAAGCCAGTTTTATAGGAAACGCAAATCAAGTTAATCTCACTAGACACACGTGTCCCTGACCATCACAGAGGTTTATCGCTTAGCTATACTTTGCCCTCCTGCAGTTTCTTCTTCACTCCCCCCCACCCCATACCATCCCCCCTCTATTTCCGGTGATTCTCTCCCACCATTTTGTTTCCGATTCCTTTTAAATGGCAATTTTAGGAAAGCATGTTTGATTTAATTGGCGTTGAAATAGCCCTGGAATCCACCCATAAAACCAAGCACTTAGAAATACAGTAGTAATGTTAACTAACTACATCTATTGAATTCCAGAGAACAGCCCTCTAACTTGTTTACGAGAAAGCTGTATAATTTGAGATTTAGCATTCATACTAGTTGATGTTTTTTAACGGAATCAAGGCACACAAGTCTTAAAACCATGTGGAAAAATTGGGTAATTGTTGTAAAGTGGAGTATATTACTTTGGATGCCTCTCATGAGAATATTCCATGTATTATGCTTATTTTACAAGTTGCCCTGGTTGAGACTCCGTTGCTTCTGCTTTCTTCCACTACAAGGTTAAGTAATGCATCTGGCTCTCACAGTCACTGCCCAAAGGTCCAAGGGCAGTACTGTATTCAAAATCATTGTAGAAAAGATCCCAGGGAGTTAGGATGGTGAGGTTTCAGGAAGAGGCTGACTTGAATTCATGCTGTAACACTTCAGCATAATTGGATTTTGCCAAGTTTATTTTGGCTTGTATGTAAGGTGTTTCAAATTCCTGATCATTTTGCTTGGAAAATTAATAGTAATATCGTCTACTACTAGTCTTTGCGATGTTTGCTTTCTTGAAGTTATAAACTAAGCACAGGGTTCATGTTCAGCTTTTAAGCACTTTTATAACAATGAGAAGTGCCTTTTTAGAATTGGGTGACTTTCAACAGTTTGTTAACTTGCCATCTCTACCCTTTTAGTTTCTGGGCAGATTTCATGTGTTGTGCCCTACCCCCGCTCTCCTTTTGTATTAATCAAGTCATTTTGTAGAGGTGGAATCTTAAGTGTTTGTGTGTCCATTTTCTTTGCATGTGCAGCCTTTTGCTGTGCCTGTTCAGTGTTTGATGCCTAATTGGATATTGAATCAATAAGTGTAAATAGAGCTTTTGATCTGTAATGCTTTTATACAAAGTTTTTTATTTTAATAATAAAACATTTTATTCTAGCTTGTCTGTTTTTTTTCTTTAATACTCATTCTTACTGGACTGAATCCTAATCTTTTCCTCCTATTAAAACAAAAGGCCATTTCTACCTTTTAAGTTTCTGAAGGTCAAGGGCCAGCTCTTTTGAATAGGACCTAGCTTGGTGATATAACCAACCAGTAGCTGTGCTCAGAAAATCAGCTGAGACAGCTACATCCCAAGATAGAAAATAATACAAGCTCATGAAGTTTTATATTGTTCTCCTTCACCATTTGCTAACCCAAGAACTAACAATACTTGGCTTGATTTTATCAACCATTTGAATATTTAAGGCATGCTGTACCTTGAGGCCTCTTCCAGGAGTGAGAGAAGCAAAAGACAAGGCATGGTCTAAAAGCACTCATAACCCAATTTATTTATTAGGTTTTTTTAAAGATGTTTGTTTATTTAACAGAGATAGCACAAATAGGCAGAGCAGCAGGCAGAGGGAGAAGCAGGCTCCCCGTTGAGCAGGGAGCCCCATGTGGGGCTTGATCCCAGGACCCTGGGAGCATGACCTCAGCAGAAGGCAGACGCTTAACCGACTGAGCCACCCAGGCGCCCCTCTCAACCCAATTTAGACCAGAGTTGGCAAACTACAGCCTGTGAGTCAGATCCTACTATAGCCGATATTCATATGGCACTTGCACTAAGTATTACATTTTTAGAAGGTTGTAAAAAAAAAATAAAAGCAAATGGCACTATGGTTCGCAAAGCCTGAAGTGTTTACAGTGTGGCATTTAACTGTAGGTTTGCTGACATAGGCTCTAGACTTATCTCAGAAATTGTATTCATCCCCACATATTCACTCGAGGGGAAAAGGTCAAACTATATGAAGTTATACAACTAGTATTGTAGACAGATGCAAGAGAATTGGGTATTTCTTCTACTAAACTTGGGAATCTTTTTTTTTTTTTAAAGATTTTATTTATTTTTTTGAGAGAGAGAGAGAGCATGAGAGGGGGCAGGGTCTGAGGGAGAAGCAGACTCCCCGCTGAGCAGGGAGCCCGATGCGGGACTCGATCCCGGGACTCCAGGATCATGACCTGAGCCGAAGGCAGTCACTTAACCAACTGAGCCACCCAGGTGCCCTAAACTTGGGAATCTTAACCCAAATTCTAATCTGACCCTTTTTTAGGGAGGTAACTGGGAAGGTTAAATTTTGGGGAGTTTGTAAAATTGGTGGCTGTTGGGAACATTTTTGGTGTTCACCATGTTTCAATATGAAGTGCAACTGAAGTGGTTTTTCATTCAAAAATAGTGACTAGCAACAGCTGATTCTGAGACACCCTTACAGGATTGACAGTCTAAAAATAAAGTTCTGAGTAGGAATGAAAGAAAAAGGCATTTTCTCAGTGTCAGGTGTTTTAGAACACTTGATGGGCCCGTGGGTTTGGTAATGGCTCCTGTCTTAGAAAAAAGAAACCCATCAGTTGATCAGTCTCAGCCTTGCCTGGAGGCCCCGAACTTTCTCCCACACACCCCACTGCAAAGCTCCACACACCGTCCTTAGAGTTGAAAGAACTTGTGTCTTTTTTTTTTTTTAAGATTTTATTTATTTATTTGAGAGAGAGAGAGAGAATGAGAGATAGAGAGCATGAGCGGGAAGAGGGTCAGAGGGAGAAACAGACTCCCTGCTGAGCAGGGAGCCCAACATGGGACTCGATCCCGGGACTCCAGGATCATGACCTGAGCCGGAAGGCAGTCGCTTAACCAACCGAGCCACCCAGGTGGCTCTTTCAGGTGCCCCGAAAGAACTTGTGTCTTAAGAGAAGTCTGTGCCTTTATTGGCTGAACAGGTCACTTACAGAGGGATGAAGTGGAAGGAGTGGGTGGCCCCGATGCCAGCCCATTGGAGCTTCACTGGCTTGCAGGTAATGGAGAACTCCCCCAGGTCGCAGCCAGTCATCTCCGGCTTGATACCCACCTGGCTGGAGGTCTTGCCGCTGTAGACACGCACCCTGCCGCCTGCCAGCCCCGTGGAACAGGTGCGCTCTAGCCTCCTGGTTCCTCCCCTCCATGGGCGGTGCCTCTTGGGCCTCGCGCAGGCGCCTCAGCCTCGCGTGCTGCTCCCTGGCAGTACCCGCGTGCCCCTCTGGAGGCCCCCCAGCCGCGGGGCCCCTGAGTGGGTGCATGAGTTGCGCGAGGGACAAGTCCAGAAGCCGGTCAAGGCCCCCGCGGCAGTAGGTGAACTTGAGGGAGGCCAGGTGCTGCCTCTGCTCCGCTTCCGCCATCTTGTTGGCTCTTCGGAAAAAATGAGAACTCGAGGTTTTGGGTTTTTTAAAAATATTTTATTTATTTATTTGACAAAGATTGAGAGAAAGCACAAGCAGGGGGAGCGGCAGAGGGAGAGGGAGAAGCAGGCTCCCCGCTGAAGAGAGAGCCCATTGCGGGGCTCTAACCCTGCGACCTCGCCCCCCATCATGACCTGAGCCGAAGGCAGGCACTTAACCGACGAAGCCACCCAGGCGTCCCAGAGACAAAACTCAAGTTTCGACAATTCGATGTGTAGAGTAGTTTACAGCATTTATGCTCCAGCAATAGTCTTTCCATTTGTCTCTCCAGCCTGGGTTCCCGAGGTGGAGAGGATGTCCACCGTTACCTTCACCGACTAAGGGTTTGAGGAATGAAACAGAGACTGTAATAGCCTTCAGTAGTTTATTAATGAAGAGGGGGAAAGGCAGTAGGGGATGCTGCAGGAGGGGCATATTTGTGTTTTATTTTGCTTTTAAAAGAAGTGAGAGGGAGCTCCTCATGGCTCAAGATCAGGTGGAAAATTGGGTTATTTGCATACCAGGGGAATGGAGTAAGAGTTCAGTGCTTTGAAGCGTGGCTGCAAAGTATTAGGTTCTGAGAGGAAAGTGATAGCAAGTCCTAAGGGGACTAAAAGGTGAGCAGATGTTATTTTATCTTAATGTTTTTTTGTTTTTGTTTTTTTTTTAATAATTTTTATTGTTACGTTAATCACCATACATTACATCATTAGTTTTTGATGTGGTGTTCCGTGATTCATTGTTTGTGCATAACACCCAGTGATATTTTATCTTAATGTTAACCACACATCTTAAGGATGAGGAAGTAAATCCATAGAAGTTGAGGAAAATGCCCAGTGCCACATAGCTAAAATGTCAGAGCTAGAGGGTTGTTCCAGGGAGGAGGCCTTTATCTTTTTTTTTTTTTTAAACTAAGCTGAGCTTGCCTGCCTTAGAAAAGGAGAAGGAGGTTCTGTCCGTGAAAACAAGGGCATACTGGGTGCTGAAGTGGATTTTGCAGAAACTTGAACAGAGGGAGACTGGAGGTCCGGGAGGGGACTGAGAGCTTCTGTAGTCACGGATAGTGGGAAACCTGGGTATTGGATCATTCAGCAGGGATGTTCGCAACCCAAGTTCTGTGGGTAGAAGACAACCTTTTATTTTTTATTTTTTTAGATTTTATTTATTTAACACAGACACAGCGAGAGAGGGAACACAAGCAGGGGCAGTGGGAGAGGGAGAAGCAGGCTTCCCGCTGAGCAGGGAGCCCGATGTGGGGCTCGATCCCAGGACCCTGGGATCATGACCTG